CACAGGGCCACGCTGGATGAACACACGCCTGCTGGGCCGTGCGAATCGTCCTCTCCCTTCAGCGTGCCCTAGGCATGCAGACCTCGTATTTTTCCTAGTGCGGTGTCGACGATATTTGGATTGCTGTTTATTCTGGGATCAGGTGGACAACCTTGTGAGCTTGCTTTGTTTGCTGCCTTCCATGTGCTTGACGGCTTGCGGAAGCTCGCAGATTTTGTTTTCGTGGCACATGAGCCACTGGAGTCACGACGCACCCCCTGGGGTGGCTCGCGGCGAGCGAAAGCATAGTGACGCACACCAACTACTTGTTACCCTCTCCCGTGGTCTGTTCAGCGCGCACCAGAGCCCCAAGAGGGCCGCATACGGCCTGGTGACGGTACCTTAGCCTGCCGGGCCTGGTTTGGGCCGTCACGGTGGGAAGGGATACTCCCGCATGGTCGCGACAGCGATTGGGCGGCACGACATCATCTGTCCGCCCTTCCCATTCCCGCAGTAGTCCCCGCCCACGCATCCGTTCTTTCTAGGAGCGAGCACGGAGAGACTAGGGCAAGGGCAAGACAAGGCGGAGAGACAAAGGTCCCAAGGATAAGCATGGACTTCGGGAAGCCAGCAACAAAGACCAGTACGGCTCGAGGCTGACGCGCAAACTGCACCGTACAGTCTGATGTCCTAGTGTCGAGGCATGGGTGCGACAATCAATGTTCGGCTTCGACAGAGCCAAGCCAGTGTGGCGTGAAAGAGCAGCTTCGTTCACAAGCCGACTTGAGTCGAGTCAACTGAGCCGCGACGGCTTGCTCCGGGTCGAACAAAAAAAAACACAAAAAAGACTCGGATCCATTGTTGAGGAGGAGTGGGTGGACAGCCTGACGGGCGAACAGGTAGACAAAGCACACTCACTGGCCACCACGTCGAAGTGACTGAATGCCGACAGCAGCCAGTGAGTGTACGCCATCGCGCCTCCACCTAGACGGCGACGAGGGAGAACAGTGAGTGGGACCGGTCGCTGGAGGCTAACCCAACGAGCCGACCCCAGTCCTAGTCCAGTCTCGGCTGTCGTTAACCCTGGTGTTGGGTGGACAAGCGGGTTCCATCCAGCCCAAGCCCAGCCCGGTGCCACTTCCCTGCTGCATTGAAGTGCGCCGCGTACGGTACGGTACGGTACCGCCTGGCGCCTGCCACAGGTACCTGACCTCGCGGGCATATCCTCACCTGGTCCTTCCAGCCCACCACGATGGGACCCGACCTACGGGGGCAGGTGAAGGGGGAGGGGAGGGAGGGGGGGGGGCCTGCGCTTGCACACGCACACCCACCCCACTACCCACTACCCACTGTCTGGTCACGTCCACAAACCCATACGTCCTTGTCCGCATGTTCTTCAGGTAGCCCCTTCCTAAGCCGTCTCCAGCTGTGCTCTGTTCCTCTCCTTGCTTTCTAAATCATACTTGCAGACAACCCCCCCTCTCCACCCTTACCACTCACACACGCACTCATTCACCACTCACTCACTGCCTGGCAAGTTCTTCGTTCTTGCCTGTTGTCCATTCAGCTGGCTCCCGTTGGAAATTGGACTGTTCGCCTGCCGTTGACGTGCCTTGCCTTGACCGTATGTTCTCTCTCTCTCTCTCTCTCTCTCTCACTCACACACACACACACACACACTCCCTCTCTCTCCTCGCCCCTTCCAACTCTGACTCCTAGCGAACAACCTTTCACACATGCCAATTTAATACCAGGTCCACCTTCCTGCCTGCCTACCTGTCTGACTGTCTGTGCCTGCCAGGTTTTGCTCCCTAAGTCAGCGTTGGTCGGATATAGCCAGGTGGTAAAGGTAACCTGGCGGGCCCCTCCGTACCTGCCTGCCCTTGCTTGCGTATGGTACCTTGCTACTTAGGTCGACTCCTCTTTCCCCGATTACTTCTTGCGCGCCGTCCCTCCTTCCGCCGTCCCATCCCGCAGGAGCACCCTACCCTGCCGCCACTTTTCCCTGACGGTCACCCAAGCAGCACCAGTCAGCGCCAGCGGTCGCCCGCACCGTAATCAGCACTCCATACCCGTACCAGTACCCGTACCAGTACCCGCACCAGCACCAGTACCAGCACCTGTACCAGCACCAGTACCAGCACCAGCAGCACTGGAGCCAGTAAAAGGAGGGACGCACGTACCGCCCCGCCAGCGCCTTCCTGCCTCACCCACCGCTGCTGCCACTTGTACTGGCACCCGCCCTCTAGCACTCGAGCTCGAGGGTCTTAACCTTGCCTCGCCTCGCATCTCACCTCACCTTCCATCACCGCCTCTTTTCTCCCCTCCACACCACGACCTCCGCCCACCCGCCGCCTTTGCACATCCACACGTCGTCAGCGTCAGAACCGCGACTCGGATTTCGACGACGACCATTTGGGTTTCCCGTGTCGGCCCCCAAAAACCTCGACTTCGCCTTTCAACCCCGGACAGACCCACGAGCCCGTGCTCGCTGTCCTCCGCATTCCTTGGATTCTGGCCGCCACGAGTCTGGAAACCCAGGGTTGCCGCATTGCAGACCCTCCTTCCACTCTTGTCTCAACCACCAATTTCCCACATTCCCCCGATCCTTGATTCTACCACATCTGACCATCGTGTGCGCCGCCGCCGCCGACGCCGCTGCCGCCGCTTCACCTCGGACCGCTCCGAAAGCATCTGCTGCTTTCTTACTCCGTCCCTCACTCTCCTCCTCTCACTATTTTTTTTTTGGGCGCCTGTCGCACTGCGCGCGTTGAGGTTGCGCGAGCCTCTCGGACGACGGACCGCTGCTTCCTTGCAAACTATCGTCAGCTTCGGCATGCCCTTTCATGCCCTTGCATAATTAGCATTTTCCGCCCTTGAACCAAGAACATCGTCGCCTGCAAGTCGACAGTTGCGCCTGCGATCCGCGCACATCTCACTGGCATCGCATCCCTCATCCACCACCATCACTGTCGCCCTCCGTCATCATCACTACCACTACCACTACCACTGCAGTTCTTTCTATTCTCAGCAACAGTAGCTACAGAAACAGCAACGGCAGCAGCATCCGCGCCCTCGGACCGCTTCAGTGTGAGGAAACTCTACCTTCACTTTCATACGAGGCAACGCGCCGGCCAGCCCCCCCACGCGCTGGCTTCTCCTTGGCAATTGTATCCAGAGCATGGCAGAGGAGCACGGAGGACGAGGGCAGCCTTCACATCACAGAGAAGACCCTTCATTTGCGCGCGACGACGAGGCCCGCCAGAGCTCCACCACGCAGGACCACCACCTTCCGCTGACCAGCGGTATCCCGACGACGCTCGATCCAGACCAGCCATGGCTGCTCCCTTGACTTTGCCAGCCATCCAGGACCATTATGGCCAGCAGCCACCGTACCAGAGAGGTTATCCGCCACAGGACCCGCGTGGCGACCCGCGTGGCGACCCGCGTGGCGACCCCAGAGGCGACCCCAGAGGCGATCCTCGTGGTGACCCTCGCGCAGACTCTCGAGCCGGCAACTACGATGCCTCGCCTAGCTCCGTGAACGGCTATCCTCCGCCACGTCCACCTCCAGGACCAGGAGCCCACCCCACCCAACTCCCACCGCTTCAGCCTCCCGGTCCTCGGTCTCCCACCTACCCTCCCTCGGAACCGAGAGAGGATTATTACCGCGACCGCCAGCCCCCGCCGCCTCACTATCCCGATCCGTACCACCAAGACTACCACCGCGGAGGGCCTCCCCCGCCTCCTGGAGCACGGTATCCCGAGTACGGCCCCCCACAGCCCGGCCAGGGCATGCCTAGGTATGAATACGGTCATCCTGCAGCGGGCGGGCCTCGATGGGACTATCCCCCAGGTGCCGTGGCACTACCCCAGGCTGCACCAAGACAGCGGACGTCCATTGCCTGCAGATACTGCCGGAAGAGAAAGGTATGTGCGCTCCAAAACGGCTGTCGAATCTGCCTCGATTTGCTGGCCGTACCAGGCCCCTGGTTTTCCTACTTACCTTCGGTGTCCAGATTCGTTGCAGTGGCTATCAGAGCGCGCCAGGAGGCAAATGCGTGAACTGCAGCAGGATGAACCAGGAGTGCATCTTCCAACCTGTGTCCTCTAGCAGCTCAACAGCGTTCATTCCCGTTTCCGCCGTGCCAGGGCGGAGTTCCACCCGGCACACGCTCTATGGGGCGTATGGGCCAACCCCTTCCGCCGAGCTCGATGCCGCCTCACCACCATCCCCAGCAGCCGTA